GTCTCTATCATAATATAGGGAAATATGAATCCATATGGAAAGGGAGATAAGAGACAAAGAGATGACCAATCACCTCGATTCATGATAGTGGATAAGGCCCCAACACTCTTGAAGACATGGTATGAAAATATGACAAACCATGGACAAGGAATGATGTTCAAACGCTTGGGATTTCTACGAAGCCTTTTGTATGTTGAGACACGACGGGATTTGATAGAAGCACTAGTGCATTTTTGGGACCCGTTAAGGAATGTATTCCGTTTTTCTGATTGTGAACTCACCCCCACCCTTGAGGAGATAGGGGCATTCATTGGAAAGGGTAAACATCTTCACAAAGAAGAGCCTATGATACCAAAACATATTAATGGGAGGAGGTTTCTACAATTACTGCATATAAATGAGAATGATATAGGTGGTTGTCTCAATAATGGATGGGTCCCGTTAGAATTTTTGTACAAAAAATATGGCAAAGTGATGGATTTGAAGTGTATGGAAAGAAACTCCGTAATAATGGGTGTCGTCTAACCTGGAAAGCACACAGTTATGATGCCTTCGTGGTGGCTTTTTTAGGGATCATGGTATTCCCAAAAAAGGGAGGAAAGATTAGCATGAACTTAGCTGCAGTCATTACAGCTTTTGAGAAAAAGCCTAATATCACCCTCGTACCAATGATTCTGGCAGACATCTATCATGCTTTAACTATTTGCAAGGATGGAAAAGACTACTTTGAGGGATGCAATATGTTATTACAACTATGGATGATTGAACACATTCGTCATCACCCTTATGCAGTGGACTTTAAAGTAGAATGGAATGATTATATTGGAGATCACAAAGAAAGAATCAAAGATCATAGTTTTCCGAAGGGTATTGAAGCTTGGAAGCAACACCTCAATAATCTGACTGCTGACAAGATTGTGTGGAATTATCATTGGTTTCCATCGGCCGAGGTGATATACATGTCTACTTTTCGATCGTTCATTGTTCTAATGGGTCTTCGAGGTGTCCAACCTTACATGCCACTTAGAGTCATGCGACAACTTGGGCGACGCCAGTTTATACCACCCAATGAAGATATGCGTGAATTCATGTATGAGTTTCATCCCAAGATACCTTTAAGGCAATCAGAGATATTTAAGATTTGGGGGGGATGCATACTCTCAAGTCCCCACGATATGGTGAAGGATCGCACAAGAGGCGAGGTAGACCAGGCATACTTAGACTGGGTTCATGCTCAGCCCCTTCCTAAGGTTATGCCAGAAGGGTCATTAAAAGGACATATAGATCTAGAAGCAGAAATTGAGGTTAAGATTAAGCAAGCTCGCCTCAAAGTCGAAAGAAGCTACAAATCTACTCTGGATATCCTAAGTAATGACCTGAAAAACGCTAAAGAGGAGTTGGCCCAACGTGATGCGATATTTGAAGTTAGAGTTAGAAAACACCGCTCTACCATTCTAACCTTACAAGAAGACTTCGGCATTGCCACAGGCGCCATGGAGCAACAGGAAGAGGAGTATAAGAAAGAAAAGGCCCAACTTGTCTGCGCACAGTCTAGACTCCAAACTCAAGTTAAAGCCTCTATGGAACGGGAAAGAGAAATAGCAAGGCGTTTTAGTGCTTATCAGGCAGACTGTGAGATTGAGAGAGGTCAAAGAAAAGCCGAGCGAGATGCACTCCACCTTCAAATTGAAGAACTCCAAGAACAAAGGGAAAATTTGACGCATGAAGTCAATACTGCTCACCACTGGTTACAGAATTGTTATGACAATATGGATGAAGCCAGAGACCGAATACTACAACTCAGGGATGAACTCAACAGTGTTTATGCTAGATATTTACACCAGAACGATGAGAGGTTGGGCCAACAGGCCCGTGCTTTGGCTCCATATCTACCGAAAGCGTTGGCGAAGATTTATAAGGGCCTTGGAGATGATTGAGATTCGAGGATTCAGTTTCTTTTAGAGTCTATTCTCTTAGTAGTGATTATTTCATTATTATTATTATTTTAGGTTTTTCTCTTTCTTTTTGTTTTGCTATTTTATTTCATTTAGAGTCTATCTAAGTCCTAGGTACTTCTGTTTCTTTTTTTTTGTTTGTTTGTTTTATTCAAATCATTGTTTCAAATATTTGAAAATGAATAAAAAAGATTTACTTTCGGTCACCTTATGTGCATATGTCATGCAAAAAAAAAGAAGTAAATTGATATATAAAAATTATTATTAATATCTTCCTCGAACTACGCAAGATCTGATTCATGGGTCAAACATGATACGTAGGCAACCCAGGTGGTTCGATCCAAATTATTATTATTATTATTATTATTATTATTTTTCTTTTCTTTTTCCTTTCTTCTTTCTCTTAAAAAATGATAATCATAATGAGAATAAATAAATAAACAAATAAGTAAATGAACAAGTAATAATAATGAAATATTAAAAAACTAATGAAGAGAAGAATGCCTAGGTAAGCCGGGATGAAACATGAGGTCCTCCATATTAGAAGTATGTATGTGGATACAATGTGCATAATTTCTTAACACTAATCGGTTTGTTACTCTATTCAGAGAGAGAGAGAGAGAGAGAGAGAGAAAAGAGAGAGAGACATACTAGCTTAAAGGTGGTTGTTTTGTGGTTAAACTGGCATCACATCCTTACAACACAAGATCGAAAGGGAAACAGAAAATGGCCCCCAGAATTGGAAATGAATCGGACAATGATGAGGAGATCCAAAACCAGATGACTTCACAAGAAACGGGGACAACAGAAGAGATAAGGGTGTTAAGACAACAAATGGCAGAGACGTACGAGGCTTCGATGAGTGGACAACCTCCACCATCTTCAATCCGAGACTATTTTAATACAAATATGTCTCACCCTATCCAGGTGTCGACAAGCGATCCGATATATCCCTCTGGATTCGACCCCTATGCTAACACATCCAATGTCGCTGGAGCTTCTATGGCGCGCCCTTCGAATACGCCTGTAATAAGTAATCCACTCTATGTGTCAACTGCCCCGACTAACAGCATCCCGCAGCGAACGATGGTGCCCAAATCCAACAGCAATCCTCCGCCCAAAGTTCGGCGTGAGCAGAGTTACACTCTTGAAGAGACCATTAAAATTCCAAGTTCTCATCCCCACATTCATCAATATAGTTCCCCTGTTGAAATTGAGAGGATGGTCAAGAATGAGGAACATGAAGAAATGACTAAGAAAATGAAGAGTTTGGAACAGATTATAAGAGATATGCAAGGACTAGGAGGCCACAAAGGCATCTCATTCAGTGACTTGTGTATGTTTCCTCACGTCCATTTGCCTGCTGGTTTTAAAACTCCAAAGTTTGAAAAATATGATGGTCACGGAGACCCCATAGCTCATCTAAAGAGATATTGCAACCAATTGAGGGGTGCAGAGGGCAAAGAAGAGTTACTTATGGCCTATTTTGGGGAAATCTTAATAGGGATTGCATCTGAATGGTTTATAGATCAGGATATCACCAACTGGCACACATGGGATGATTTCGCTCGATGTTTTGTACAACAATTCAAATATAATATTGACATTGTTCCAGATCGTTCCTCGTTAGCCAACATGAGAAAAAAGACCACACAAAATTTTCGTGAATATGCTATCAGATGGAGGGAACAAGCTGCTAGGGTTAAACCACCGATGAAGGAGTCAGAGATGATTGACGTTTTTCTCCAGGCGCAAGAACCTGATTACTTTCACTATCTGCTTTCTATCGTAGGGAAGACATTCGCTGAAGTTATTAAGGTAGGGGAAATGGGGAAAATGGCATCAAGTCTGGAAAGATTGTAAGTCAAGCTTCCTTAAAAGCCACAACACAAGTGCTTCAAAATGGTTCTGGAAATATTGGAGGGAAGAAGAGAAGGGAGGATGTGGCCACTGTTGTATCAGCGCCTAGGACTCATGTTCTAGGTAATTCCCCACAACATTATTTTCCTTCCCAAGCTCCACAATATTCTATGCCATACACTCCATATCATGTTTTTAATGCACAACCAATTGCACCCCCTTCTTATCCACAATGGCGTGCACCAACTCCGCAAAATCATCCACAACCCCTACAAGTTCATCAAAATACTGCTAGAATTCCTTTCCGTCCTAGACCACAATACAAAAAGAGAAATGGCGTTAAAGATGAGTTCACTCCTATTGGGGAGTCGTATGCTAGCTTGTTTCAAAAATTAAGGACGTTGAATGTTTTGAGTCCTATTGAGAGAAAGATGTCGAATCCTCCCCCGAGAAATTTGGATTATTCTCAACATTGCGCATATTGTCCTAATGCCCCAGGGCACAACATAGAGAGATGTTGGTATTTGAAAAGGGCCATTCAGGATTTGATCGATTCTAATCGAATTATAGTTGAAAGTCCGAGTGGACCCAACATCAATCAAAATCCATTGCCGAGGCATACTGAAACAAACATGCTAGAAATGATGAAGGGTCATGAAGATTTTGCATCTCCGTATAAGCCAATCCTTAGGGTTGGAACTGGCATTGAGAAGTCAGCAAATGTTGTTGATTTAACAAAAATGATGCCTTTAGGGGCGGAAAGTGTGTTAGAAAAGTTGAGTCCATCAAACACACCCATCTTAACTGTGAAAGGAGCCCTTGAAGATGTTTGGGCAAGCCCGAGTAAGGCAAAATCGTTTGTTCCAAAAGGGCCAAACAAGCCTATCTTGATCGTGCGAGGGGCCCATATTCCTCCTGTGATTATCAGGCCAGTACCCCAGCTCCTAATGACTAACCCCAAAGCTGTTCCTTGGAATTATGAGCCTACTGTCGTGACATACAAGGGAAAAGAAATAGATGAAGTGGGAGGAATAACCCATTCAGGAAGATGTTATGTCCCGGTGGAATTAAGGAAAACAAAAAATGACCAAATACAAATAAAGAGTTCGGTCACTGAAGGACAGGCAGAGGAATTCCTAAGGAAGATGAAACTATCAGACTACTCCGTGGTGGAACAATTAAGAAAAACTCCAGCCCAAATCTCTTTGTTGTCTTTGCTAATACATTCTGATGAACATCGTAAGGCTGTAATGAAAATTTTGAATGAAGCACATGTTCCTAGTAAAGTTACAGTGAGTCAGTTAGAGAAGATTACTGGGAGAATATTTGAGGTAAACCGCATCACCTTTTCAGATGATGAACTACCCAAAGAATGTACAGGACATAACCAAGGCCTACATATCACTGTAAAGTGTGAGCTTTCATATGTCACTCGAGTTCTAATTGATGGAGGATCTGGAGCAAATATTTGTCCTTTATCAACTCTACAGAAATTGAATGTTAGTGCTGAAAGGGTACGACCCAAAAATGTATGTGTTAGAGCTTTTGATGGGTCAAAAACAGATGTTATTGGTGAGATAGAGCTCGTACTAACCATAGGGCCTGTGGATTTCGCTTTGAATTTTCAAGTGTTGGATATCAACGCGTCCTACAATCTATTGTTGGGGAGGCCATGGGTGCATAGAACTGGAGCAGTCCCCTCAACGTTGCATCAAATGATTAAGTTTGAACACGACCGACAAGAGGTAATTGTTCATGGTGAGGGGGATTTGTCAATCTACAAAGACTCTTCCTTCCCTTTTATCGATGCGGATAATGAGAATGAGGCACTAGTTTATCAATCTTCTGAGGTAGTGGTTATTGAGCATGTCCCCGAGGGGAGTGTCATTCCAAAACCAAATATGCCCATCGCGTCTGTAATGGTGGTGAATGAATTGCTGAAACATGGGTTTGAGCCGGGTAAAGGCTTAGGAATCTGCTTGCAAGGAAGAGCTTATCCTGTGAGTCTACCAAAGAGCATCGGTACTTTTGGCTTAGGCTACCAACCTAGAGTCGAGGACAAAATGAAGGAAAAGAAGCAGAAGAGAGATGTATGGTCACTTACCAAGCCTATACAACCAATCTACAAATCTTTCATCAAAGCCCGCTCAACAGAATCGTATCAATCATCTTTTCCAGAGCCAGTGATGAAAGTTAGCGAAGAAATGATCAACTATTTTCAAGATTTATTTGTCGAGGTTGATATGGTGGAACTCGGAGAAGGCACTAGCGACAGAGATGTGCAATTCATTGGTCCTGATGTCAATCTAAACAATTGGGAGGCCACCCCTCTCCCCGTTAAAGACGAGTCTTGGTAGTCTGTCTTGTTTTTTCTTTTGTCATCCGATTCATTCAAGGATTGTAATTCGGCTTTTATCTTGTCGTTTTATTTCAAACATTCTATTTCCTTTTTCAATAGGATGTAATTGCATCTTTATATCAGTCTAATATATTTGTTCGTTTTCTTTTATAAAGTTCTTTCAATGCCGATTCTAGTGATATGACATGCATGCAGAATTTTTCGCCAGATCTTAATATCCAATCTAATCTTCAACCTAATATTGAAATAATAAGTCAAGAAATCGAACATGATGAAGACAGAGTATTTGAAGAAGTAAGGAGGGATTTCAATCATTTTGAAAATAAGTCAAATCCAAACATGAGTGAAACTGAGACGATAAATCTGGGGGATCAGGAAATTATTAAAGAGACTAAGATAAGTGTACATGTTCGACATCAAAAGGACGATATAATCCAGGCCTTGTTTGATTACAAAGATGTTTTTGCATCATCTTATGATGACATGCCTGGATTAAGCACAGACATGGTTGTTCACAAGTTGCCAATTGATCCCAATTTTCCTCTGATAAAGCAGAAGTTGAGAAAACTGAAAACCGAAATGAGTGTGATAATTAAAGAGGAGATCACAAAACAACTTGAGGCCAAAGTCATTCAAGTAGCTCAATATCCTTCTTGGTTAGCCAATATCGTGCCTGTCCTTAAGAAAGACGGCAAAGTTCGAATGTGTGTTGATTATCGTGATTTGAATAAGGCAAGTCCAAAAGATGATTTTCCTTTGCCTAACATCCATATTTTATTGGATAATTGTGCTAAACATGAGGTTGCATCTTTTGTGGATTGTTGTGCGGGCTACCATCAGATTATTATGGATGATGAAGATGCAGAAAAAACATCTTTTATCACTCCATGGGGTGCATATTGTTATCGTGTTATGCTTTTTGGATTGAAAAATGCAGGGGCAACTTATATAAGAGCAATGACAACCATGTTTCACGATATGATGCATAGAGAAATTGAAGTTTATGTGGATGATGTTATCATTAAATCTAAAAAACAGTCAGATCATGTGAAAGACTTAAGGAGATTCTTCGAAAGGCTCCGCAGGTACAATCTCAAACTTAATCCTGCAAAATGTGTACTTGGAGTACCATCGGGGAAGCTTTTGGGGTTTATAGTCTGTCGAAAAGGTATCGAGTTGGATCCTTCAAAAATTAAAGCAATCCAAGAATTGCCACCTCCAAAGAACAAAACTGAGGTTTTGAGCCTTCTAGGAAGGTTAAACTACATCAGCAGATTCATTGCTCAACTCACAACAACTTGTGAGCCTATCTTTAAGTTGTTGAAAAAGAATACCACAGTCGAGTGGACCGAAGAATGTCGACAAGATTTTGAAAAAATTAAGAGTTACCTATCAAATCCCTCTGTGTTGGTTCCTCCCGAGCCAGGAAGACCTTTGATATTGTATATGTCAGTACTGGATAATTCTTTTGGTTGTGTACTGGGTCAGCATGATGACACTAGGAAGAAAGAGCGGGCCATTTATTACCTCAGCAAGAAATTTACCATTTACGAAGCAAAGTATACCCTTCTTGAAAGAACGTGTTGTGCCCTAACTTGGGTAGCACAGAAGTTGAAACATTAACTTTCATCTTACACTACTTATCTCATCTCTCGTATGGATCCGTTGAAATATATTTTTCAAAAGCCCATGCACACAGGCAGGCTCGCGAAATGGCAAATATTGCTCATAGAGTTTGACATTATCTATATAACGCGGACCGCAATGAAAGCTCAAGCAATGGCAGATCATTTGGCAAAGAACCCTATTGATGAAGAATATGAACCGCTTAAAACCTATTTTCCAGATGAAGAGATATTGTGTATCGATGAAGTTATTCACGATAACGATCAAGGTTGGAAGTTATTCTTTGATGGTGCCTCTAACAAGAAAGGAGTTGGAATAGGAGCTGTTCTTATGTCTGAATCAGGGGAATATTACCCTATATCAGCCCAACTTAGATTCTATTGTACTAATAATATGTCTGAGTACGAAGCGTGCATTTTGGGTCTGAGGTTAGCTGTTGACATGGGCATCCAAGAATTGTTAGTGTTAGGAGACTCAAACTTACTAGTTCATCAAATTCAAGGAGAATGGGAAACTCGAGACCCAAAGTTGATACCATATCAACACTGTTTACAAGGTCTTTGTCAACGATTCGTGTCGATAAAGTTTAAACACATTCCCCGAATGCACAATGAGATTGCAGATGCATTGGCCACTTTGTCTTCGATGCTCCAACACCCTGATAACGCCCATATCGACCCTTTATACATACAAATTCGTGATCAACATGCCTATTGCAACATGATTGAGGAGGAATTTTATGGTAACCCTTGGTTTCATGATATCAAAACTTATCTTCAGTCTGGAGAATGTCCGTCAGATGTAACTAGTAATCAAAAAAGGACTATTCGACGACTAGCAAGGGGTTTTTTCTTAAGCGGAGGCATACTGTACAAGAAGATACCCGATTTAGGTCTTCTAAGGTGTGTAAATGCTCAAGAGGCTTCCACAATCATGATTGAAGTACACTCATGAGTTTGTGGACCTCATATGAATGGATATGTTCTAGCCAAGAAAATACTTCGAGCAGGATATTATTGGCTCACCATGGAGCGGGATTCCATACGATTTCTTCGTAAATGTCATGAATGTCAAATACATGGTGATTTAATACATTCTCCCCCTTCTGAGTTGCATGCAATGTCGGCTCCATGGCCTTTCGTGGCATGGGGAATGGATGTGATTGGATCGATAGAACCAAAAGCATCGAATGGTCACAGGTTCATCTTGGTGGCCATTGATTACTTTACAAAGTGGGTGGAAGCAGTAACTTTCAAATCAGTGACCAAGAAAGTCGTGGTGGATTTCATCTATTTCAACATCATCTATCATTTTGGTATTCCAAAGGTGATTATAACTGACAATGCCGCAAATCTCAACAGCCACTTAATGCAAGAGGTGTGCTACCGATTTAAGATTGAGCATCGAAATTCGACTCCGTATCGCCCAAAGGCAAATGGGGCTGTAGAAGATGCTAACAAAAATATAAAAAAGAAACTTCGTAAGATGGTGCATAGTTCTCGACAATGGCATGAAAAGTTGCCTTTTGCTTTGTTGGGTTATCGCACTACAGTCCGTACGTCAGTGGGTGCTACCTCATATTCACTGGTATACGGGACTGACGCAGTTATACCTGCAGAGATTGAGATCCCATCTTTACGAATCGTTGTGGAGGCTGAAATTGATGATGATGAATGGATCAAAACTCGGTTAGAGCAATTAAGTTTGATTGATGAGAAGCGTCTGACATCAGTATGTCATGGACAATTATATCAGAAAAGAATGGCACGGGCATACAACAAAAAGGTGCGTCCCAGACATTTTGAAGAGGGTCAATTAGTGTTGAGACGCATTTTGCCACATCATGCTGAAACCAAAGGCAAATTTTCTCCAAATTGGAGAGGACCATTCCTTGTTAAAAGGGTATTACCCAATGGTGCTCTTTACTTAGCAGATATAGAAGGCAAAGTGACAGAAACGGTCGTCAATGCTGATGCTGTGAAAAGATACTACATATGATTGAGTTTCGACATTAGAAACCCTTATGTTTGGGCTTGATATTCCAAGGGTTGATTCAATGGGATCTCTTGGTTACGATGCGTCCTTGACTTTTAAAAAAAAAAAAAAAACAAAAACAAATTGCCTGAACTACGTTTGACCTGATTCTTGTTTCGGCAAGATACGTAGGTAGCCCTAATATTGGGTTCGGTTCAACCAAATACAAATCCAAAAATTCATATTGTAGTATACTGGGGCAAAAGTCGTTTGTTTATTCATTTGGTCTCATCTCAAAGCTCAAAATCAACCCCATCATCTAAAAAAAAAGAAAAAGTCTTTGCATCAACCCTTGATGTGTCGAAAGTAAGTTGGTTAAGGGTAGGTAAAAATCCTGAATGGGTACCATAAGACAAGTGTGAGTAGGAAGAAATAAAAATGAGAGAGTCTTATTGGTGAAAACCCTAAGTGGGCACCGTGAGGCGAAAAGGAGTTGAATATAAGAGAGTCTTATTGGTGAAAATCCTGACATGCACCATAAGGCAGACGTGAGCTGGAGCAATTAACATGATTGAGTTTTAGCGACAAAGACCTTCGTGAATACCACAAAGTCTATAAGGGTTCAGATTATTTATGGCTTCATTAAGTGTTGGGATTCCATATCAAGATTGAATAATCAATAATGGTTGATGAATAGATTGGATAGCCAAGTCTGGAAATCAATTCAAATTGCATGGCATGATCAATAGACTCGTCTCGCACACTCAGATAAGTTTTTCTTTCTTCTTCTTACAAAAGAAAAAGTCTTCATCGAATCTTTTCTTTTATTCTCATATAGTTCGTAATTTTCTTATACTTTTTTTCATCACTTTTTGGTATGTATTTGAGTCGAGTCTTTGTCAAAAAAAAACTATGAAGGAATTCAAGACTCGCTACCAAGTCTCTAATCGGTACTAGGCAAAGCATCAGGCTACTGAGTTAATCTGTCTTCAAATGTTGAATTCGAAAATTCTCTGATCCTATGAAGGCTAAACAATGAGTGTTATGAGATAAAGACATTTGATTTAGGTCGCAAAATAAGCAAATGTGGATGAAAGTACAATCAATCAGTAAGAAGTATTGAACGTTGGAAACAACCAAAGCGTCATAAGTGTTTGAGCCGCCCTTGTCGAAAGATGGAACCACAAACCAACCACCACCTTTTCAAACTCATAAATTTTCTTTGTTGAAGCAGGGACACAAGTTGTTTCAAGATTGAAGATTCGAGGAACCTAGATGTTCAACCTAGTTTGCAGCGAGCGAAAGGGAACCCTTACAATAAAGACTTGTGGAATATTATATGAAAGTTGACTAATATATATCAAAATAGCAATTACTTCAATGTTGGAGTATTTATTTTATTCATTACTATTATTATTATTTTTCTCCTTGGAGGAACTTCCAAATAATGAAGATAGCATTCACAATATTTTGTTGGCATTATTAGTTTGTTTAAAATTTTATTAGCAGGACCCTCTTAGATAATGGGACTAGCAGGACCCTCCTGGATAATGGGATTAGAAGGACCCTCATGGATAATGGGACTAACAGGACCCTCCTAGATAATGGGATTAGCCGGACCCTCCTGGATAATGGGACTAGCAGGACCCTCCTGGATAATGGGATTAGCAGGACCCTCTTGGATAATGGGATTAGCAGGACCCTCCTAGATAATGGGCCTAGCAGGACCCTCCTGGATAATGGGACTAGCAGGACCCCCCTGGATAATGGGATTAGCAGGACCCTCCTGTATAATGGGATTAGCAGGACCCTCCTGAATAATGGGATTAGTAGGACCCTCCTGGATAATGGGATTATCAGGATCCCCCTAGATAATTGGACTAACAGGACCCTCCTGGATTATGGGATTAGCAGGACCCGCCTGGATAATGAGAGTAGCAGGACCCTCCTGGATAATAGGAGTAGCAGTACCCTCCTAGATAATGGTATTAACAGGACCCTCCTGGATAATGGGACTAGCAGGACCCTCCTGGATAATGGGACTAGCAGGACCCTCCTGAATAATGGGACTAGCAGGACCCTCTTGGATAATGGGACTAGCAGGACCCTCCTGAATAATGGGATTAGATTACTTCCTCAGAGGATTAACACTTCCTAGTCTAGATTTTTAGTTTTATTTTCTCCTGAAATAAACACTTCCTAGCCGATGTTTATGTTTTATATTTATATTTGCTAATAACTCACAAAAAATTTCCCAGTGAAAACTGGGGCAAAAAATTTTTTTTTGTTTGATTGTAGTGGTTCTCAGGTTTTCTCAAGCAAGACCAAGATTCGAAATTCAAGAACAAAGTTTCAAATTTTTTAGAATAATCAATTCCATGATGGTTAGAATTAGTTTCTTCAATGCATGTAGCAGCCTGACTTCCACACATCTTTTACTAGTCAACTTTTGATCAAGAAAACACGCATTCATTCCAGAGCATTTTTCAAGTTATCAGTTTGAAGAATGTTAAAAGTTCCGTCTAAGTGGCAAATTCAGCCTCCATTCCAATTCTAAGTTAAGATATTCACTCAAAAACCAAGGTGATATCTTAAAGTCAAAATTCAAGTGAAGATTCAAGAAAATCTGCGTGGATGGAAGTTTGTACATTTGTTTTTCTTTTGACTAATAGTTTTCAATTTTTATGTAAAGATAAGAGCCGCGATCTGGAGCCTCGATGGAACCTCACTTAACTTCCAACTCCTCACTTTATCTCCTCGAACTACAAGTGGCCTGATTCTCTTATCACCCGGGATATGTAGGATGTCCAAACAAGGACTCGGTCGCACAAATTTTAGTCTTTCAAGTAAGAGTTCGGTCAAAACTTGTCATTTTGTCTGAAAAACTCTTCGTGTTTCCAGTCAAAGGGGGGCAAACTGTAGACACATAATTTTTGACCGAATTTAATTTTAACACCAATTTTAGAGCATAAATAATTTTATCAATCTAAATTAAATATATTTTATTATTGTCATTAAGTTTATTTAAAAGATATAAGAATAAACAACATAAATATAATTTTTATTAGATAAGTTTATACATAAATATATATATATATATATATATATATATACACACACACACACATATATTATTGAAATAAACTAATATTTCTTAATTATGTCTTTTTTGTTTTAATTACCCATTTAGCATTATTTATTTATTTACTCAAAACAATTAATAATTATATAATTATCATTTTTATATATATATTTAATATTTATATAAAAAAAAAACCACACACACACACAAACCCACGATCCCACTCCCACTCCCACTCCCCATTCCCCCACTCCCTACACATTTACACACTACATTATACACTATATTAAAAACAACATCAGAGAGAGGTAAAAGAGAAAGGAGCAAAAAAAAAAAGACACACGAGAGAAAAAAAAACATCAGAAAGGAGAAGAAAAAAGAACAAACGGGAAAAACAAAGAAAAAGCACACGAAAAAAAAGGGAAAGAGAGGAGAAATCAAGAAAAAGGGAAGACAACACACATGTAGAAAATATTATTCTCATCTTTTTATTTTTTTTAAAAAGTCATAAACAAAGGTTGAGTTTTGAGGTTCACTTCGTGGTTTCAAGTTCGCGGTTCCTTATTCGAATTGTTTTCTTTTGGTGGAATTTTCGCAAGAGGTACCAATTTTTATTATTATTTTTTTTATATAATTTAATATCGTGTTTATACAAGCACTGATTACAATATATTAAAGTTGTCAAATTTCACATGTGGTTAAACCGTTATGTTTTATATGAAGTTTGTTCAAACATTTCATATCAACTTTATGTTTAGATCCTTTATATAGTTTTATTTTGTGTGAAGTTGCTATAACAAGCCGTAGTTTATTTCATATTAAATAATTCATAGTTTATTTCATGCCTAAGTAAAATTATTGTCTAAGTCTATTCTTATTTTTCATGTTTAGTTTTTAA